TGAGTCAGTGTTAAATCAATAACCCATTATAGTGCTAGGGGTTACCATGCAGTTGGAAACAACCATCTTTTGGATAAGACATTAACCTGAAACCCTAACCACTGGTAATTACAGATCTCTTTGTCCTTTTTTACCATTCTAGGAGTAATAACACTACCTTCCTCATTGAAATACAACATATGCAGTTCTGACAATGCCTCTTAAGATTCTTTCTGGAATTTCAATTGGACTTCATATTCTTCCTGACCATAAATTGCTGCTGTGCAGTGTTAACAGCTCCAACTTTTCTCTGCAAAAATGGCTACATTTCAGTAAAGGCTGAAATGACTCTGTCCTCCTTTGTAAAGCACTTCTGTGTCTGGATGACAGGCCTTGTATAACTGCAAAGTATTATTAATAATCATCAGTCTGGCTCTGTTTTTAGCTCCTGTTACTACTTTTTGAACTGTTCCTTTTTGAACTGCATTCTTTTGGTCTTAGGGATCTTCTCTGTGGGTCTGGCTGGTTGCCCTCACTTTTCCTGGTGAGTAATCAGACAAACAGCCCACATTCACATGCCATTCTGCCCTGTGTCTGTTACACAGCTACAGATCAGCAGATACAAATATTAAGTCCTTTGAAATGTTGATTTGCTTATAAAGTACCAGCATTCCAACTAGGAGCAGCCTTGTTGGCATTTGTCAGCTATAACTCACTTCTCACTCTGCATATTTTGGGGGGTATTTTACCTGGTTACCATCCTGCATGAAAAAGCAATTTTGTAGTTCACAGCATTTAAACAAAGCAGATCTGTTCCTCAGAACAAAGGAGCTGTTTTATAGGATTCTTTGTGTTGCATTATCACCTTTAGTCAGTTTCTAGTGGCTGACTTGGGGTCGATTTCAGGACACTGTCACTCTATCTTGCCATGCAAGCCCTTAAATTTGCTTCCTTAGCTTAGTTCCCCACTGAGCTCGAGGTGACATACTTCAGTAACCTCCAGTAAGCACCACATGTACTGCAATTATACTGTTTTATAAGATCATTTTGGCCCATCACTGCAGAATTCTGTAGTGTACTGGTGCCAAGGGAAGGCTATGAAGGAAATGGCTGTTCTTCATTGGCAGGTTTTTAAAATCCCTAGTTTTTGCAGCTTTACTGAAGGGGAAAAGTGCTAAACCAGTGGTGTCCAATCTTTTCATGCCACGGGCCAGATGGGCAGTGCCAAGTCCTTCCATGGGCTGGATCTGCCTGGTGGGCCTGATCTGACTGTAGGGGTTGTGCATCCTGACCCTGATCCATCCACACAGGGCAAAGGCAGTGCAGAGCAGCCCCTGTCTGGATATGCAGGGGGGGGGGCAGAGCAGCCCTGCCTGGCTTCTGATTGGACATGTTGTGGGGCACAGCCTAGCAGTCCCAAACTGGACATGTGGGTGGGTGGGAGGGAGCAGCCTGGGACAATTTGGATGTACAGGGGGCCATCCCAGTCCTGTCCCCGCTTTGCTGCAATGGCCAAGCAAGGCTGGAGCCCGGTGTGTGAAGCTTCCACTGCTCCCCACTGCCAAGTTTTCCAACCCATGAGAGCCCCATGGGTTGGATGTCATGGCTCCATGGGCCAGATTTGCCCCACGGGCTGGAGGTTGAGGACCCCTGTGCTAGGTTAAGAACAAAGCAGGCTGTTTACACACAAAAAAGGGTGAGTAAAGCAGCACAGGACAAACTCTCCCACTCAGTGGTGCCAATGTATCTCAGCCCTGAGCTGGAGAGACTGCACAGTATGTAATCCTTGTGATTTATTCAATTGCTGGCTCTATTCAGAGATTGCCAGTAAAATTAACGGTTTTTATGTGGGGTAGTGATAGTTTCTTTGAGATGGACACCTGTCCACAGGGAACTGGACCAAGACTGCCCTGCTTTTTAAAAATAGGAAGCATTTGCTGGCAACCAGCATCAGTCGGAGCTCTTTTCAATGAAGCCAAATAGCAACAAATTTTAAGTTAAAGCAAATACTTCTTTAACGAAACATCACATTAACCTATGGAACTCATTGGTACAAGTAGCTCAGTAAATTTCCCATGTAAAAAGGAATACCGTATGCAAATAATATTTGCAATTATGTTATGTTAAAATTACAACAACTGTTAGTGCTCATGTTTCAGGGTGTGACAATCACTGCCTGGTCAGGATTACATTTTTCCCAGTGCTGTAGTACTACACAAATGGAAAGTGCACTACGTGGGCTTCATGCCTTCCCTTGTTTGGCATATGAGAACCTAGGTACACGGATGGATCAGTACTAACCACTGCTTCCAGTAAATTCAAGGAAAGTCACTAGAGCTCAGAACCATTCCAGTTTAGCCTACATACCCAAAGCACTGCACCACCCCACTCATGAATGTGAAACAAACTGTACCAAACTGGCCCCTATATCTCACCTGCTCTCTGTGACTACAAGTCCTCTGTGACCGCATGATCCTTCACTTTTGTCTCATTCTATGGGACACAGAACCATGTTCAAACTTCCAAAGAGAATTAAAACACAAAACCCCGGCATATTGGTCACTAGCGAGTGGATCTGAATTTCTTATCAAATTAATTTCCCTCAGCAAAGGCTTTTTCGTTCCTTTTGATTTACCCACTCTGTCATTTAAGACATTTCTGGTTTGTCTAAGGCAGAAAATGGTCCCTTTGATGCCAACCGTAAAACTCACGCTGACTTCAGTGGGAGCAGAAATAATAACCCCTTGGACTTTCTGCTGCTCAGGCAGCGATCTAATCTTCACATTGGCTGATACAAGCCTACACACGTATGGCATAATACACTCATTAATAATTACATGTACAATCATATGATACCACTTCTGGGCCCTGGTTGGTTGATGAACGTGATACGTACCCAGAAATAGATACCATTTTTGTTACTCGCCTGTCTCAAGGGTATAACAGCATATTTCAATAAGCAATTGCATATTTTCTAAGTCCACAGTCCAGAGTGCATGGACAGTAGCAGCTCAAGCTTCGGCCAGGTCCCATACTCAAATCCAAGAAAAAAGCAATTTTTCCCTTTCTGATGTCTGTGTGCACGTATGATTGTGTGGAGATGGCAAGTAAGGCTATGGGAGCAAAGGAAGGGTTTTTCTTTGCTTATCTACAAGGGTTCTAAAAGCCCTGCTGCTCTTCCTGGTATTGGACTAATATTTACTGAACCATAATTTCCTTGGATCAGTCCGTATCTTTTTTAAAAATAGATACTATTTTTGTTACTTGCCTGTCTCAAGGGTATAACAGCGTATTTCAATAAGCAATTGCATATTTTCTAAAGTCCACAGTCCAGAGTGCACAAACATCCTCTGTTTTATTGTCTGCTTACTTGCTACACTACACAATTTGTTCATTTGCCAGGAATCCCACTGCTGTTAGCAGCACCGAGCCAGGGTTGCGTCTACCACAGAAACAATCCTGCAGTGGTCTGGCCGCGAGCACAGGCTCGGCTGCTTGGGGACACACAGCGCTGCCCTCGGGCTTCAGGGGCTCCACGCTGATGGCCACCAGGGAAGACTCTGCTTCAGTGCATAGGGCAGGACCCGAGCTGCAGCCAGGCCAGGATGTGGCCTTAACCCCTGCGGCTGCTGCTGCGGAGAGCGCTGCAGGCCCAGGTCACTGCTAGGTCGCCTGTAGCCAAGTGACACCGCAGAAAGCAGCGGGAGCAGGGGCGGGGCGGGGCGGGGCGGGGCGCTCAGCCGCTCCCGCACCTGGCGAGTGAGTAGAGGGGCGGGGCCGGGGCCGAGGCCGGGGCCGCGCTGACGAGCGAGGACCTCCAACTCACGCCCGCCCTGCGCCAGCAGCTCCTGGACCTGATACGCGGCCCCGCCCAGCTCCGAGCGGGGGCGGAGCCCGGCCTTGCTCCTCTCTCGGCCGGAGACAGGCTGTAGTAGGCTTGGGCTCAGCGCCCCTCACTGCGCAGGCGCGCGGACCCCAGACATGCGGCTGCACCGCGCAGGCGCAGGCAATATGGCGGCGCCCGTGGACCTGGAGCTGAAGAAGGTAGCGGCGCCGCGGCAGGGTCTGTCCTGTTTCTCCCGGGCGGCCCGTGGTGGGGGCGGCTGCCTGCGAGGGGGCGCTCGCTCCGGCAGGAGCCGTCCGTCCCCTTCTGTCCCTTCCCCTCCCTTCTCCTGGCGCAGCCTGTGCGAGGCTGCGGAGCGCTGCAGGCGGGTGGGGGCGGCCTGGGCTCGCGGGCCGGTGTCGGAGCAGCGCTGGGTCCTGGCCTGCGGGCTCGCGGCTGCCGCTGCGATTTCTGAGGGGAAAGGAAACCGCTGCGCCGCAGAGCCTGGCCCTGCTCCCCCCGGCCCTGACCGCTTCTCCCGCGCTTCTCCCTTAGGCTTTTACTGAGCTGCAGGCCAAGGTCATTGACACTCAGCAGAAGGTGAAGCTGGCAGATATGCAGATAGAACAGTTGAACAGGACAAAAAAGCACGCGCACCTCACGGACACTGAGATTATGACGCTGGTGGACGAGACACGCATGTATGAAGGTGTAGGAAGAATGTGAGTAACTTCTTTTGCAGCTGAAGAAGTTAGGCATGAGTTAAAGGGTCTTGTCTTTCAAGCCTACTAGAACCTATTGTTCTTTTGACTTGGATTGCTTTTAGGCTTGCTTCTTCCCATAGGTGACAGTGAACAATCAGGAATATGCATATGTTAGTTGCTCTCTGTCAGATCTTATCTGTTTTATTTAGCCACATCCAAGACAACTTTGAATTTAAGATGACCCCTCCCCTCAGTACTTTGATTTTGTACATGGAAAATTATAAATTTGTTGTAGTTTTGCCCCCCCCATGTAGACTCTCTTTATGGGAGGATTATCTTAATCCTCTTCCCCCCCCCCATCCCCCACACATGCACACCTCCATTTCTGTGGCAGGGAAAAG